GTTCTCACGGGGATGTTTATGTCCGCGTGCACTGTTGTTGGCACAGCTTGTTGCTGCGTGTTTTCTTTGATGTTTTTACAATGTTTGTGCAGTTGCTGAACGCATGGCGCTGCTTCGTAAAAGTTTGAGACACTGGACTGCCAAGGGGGCGTACAGAGGAGGCTGCCCTCGACCCGCCCTTATTCACTCTCAGAAAAGCTGATGTTGCGTCTTTCTTTCTCATTGTGCACTTGAGTTCGCTTTATTTCGCGGCTGTGTGAAATCGCCCAGGTTGAACTTTTGTCTACTGACATCGAAAGTATATTTTTACGTAACGTATTTCTGGAGTTGATTTGTCCAGTTATAGTTTCGTGGTGCACGGAACTTGGTTGGATAATAGCCTACTACTTTACGCATCGCAAGGCGACTAACTTGCACATTGTTTGCGCACAAATTAGACGTGCCTAAAAGGCTCCAAGAACCTACTACTTCCTTATCTTGACCTAAATGAGGTATGGAATTAATCAAAGGACGACGACTGCAAAAAAGCCACAATGTATAAAACCCTTCGACCACTTTTGGATTATAGATGCGCCAAGAAGAAGAATAAAATTTGGCGTCGTGCTCTCAACCCCAATAGACAAGACCTGGTATGGATTGGCGTTTGTTTACGAACATTTTTGCTTTGGCAATTACTTGGATTTTCTCTTGGTGCAAGTGTGTCTGCGCCCAAAGTGGAACACGAGGGGCTTTGTCCCAACAAACTCAACACAAATCTCTGGGTTGACGCGCAAAGCACCTGCGAGAGAGAATGCAACGTTGATGAGGTGAGGTCACGTATACATTTTAACTAATGTTATTTATTTAAAAATATTTTTGGAAATTACACGTGTTGGTCTTATAAAAGTATTCTCAAAGAGCTGTAATGGAAAATAATTTGAATCACTGTACTTCAAGTATCTATAATTTAGTTCGTTATTTTTCTCATTACTTTTTACTTTTACCTGTGACTGGGAGTTCATTGATTTATTGATCGTGATCTTGTCGACTTGTAAAACAGAACGTGAACCGGTTTGTAACAATAATTCAATAGAATATTTCCCACCCGTGGCCTTATTTAAGAGACTTGTTTGACGTAGGCTCCAAGAGTGGTGTGAGGAAATGCGTTTTGTCTTTTGCCAACTTAGAAGTAACAGGCATTCAAAATGTCAAAGTCTCTGTTTAATGTAAAAAAAACTTTTCTTTATTGTGCCTAGTTGTCAAAACAGGTATTGATAGTAAAAATGTATAGAGTATTTTTACTTTTGTACTTAAATACTTTTTAGTGTTTTTAAGTTTTCTGCACATTTGTAGGTACAGAGTGAGTACTTTTACCACCTGCCAGTTGCCGTTGTGCGCTTTGTGCTGTGTGAGCAGGACTGTGCTGACTTTGAGAAATGCTGCACCAACGTATGCGGCCTCAACAGTTGTGTCGCTGCCCGATTCTCTGATGGCACCACCGCTCAGCCTGGCGACCTTGGAAGAGGGAAAGGGGCCGCTGCTCCGGGCTCCACGGCAACCTGCGATGAATTTATCTGCAGCCAACAGGGAGCCACCTGTGACATCTGGGACGGCCAGCCCATCTGCAAGTGTCAGGACCGATGTGAGAAAGAGCCCAACTTTACCTGCGCGTCAGATGGCCTGACGTATTTCAACCGCTGCTACATGGATGCAGAGGCCTGCATCCGGGGGGTGACCCTGACTGTGGTCACCTGCCGATTCTACCTCGCAGGACCCCACACGAGTCCGCTGCCTCAGGACACGACCGCTTATCCTACCCCAACGTCCTCTCAAGAGGACCCCATGCCACCTACGCTGTACTCCAACCCTCACCACCAGTCCATCTATGTTGGAGGCACGGTCAGCTTCCACTGTGATGTCATAGGCATCCCCAGACCTGATGTAACCTGGGAAAAACAAAGCGAGCGGCGTGAGAAGCTCGTCATGAGGCCGGATCAAATGTACGGCAATGTGGTGATCACCAACATTGGACAGCTTGTCATCTACAACGCCCAGGTGTGGGATACGGGCATCTACACTTGCATTGCACGCAATTCCGCAGGGGTTCTCCGTGCAGACTATCCTCTATCAGTCATCCGTCGGGCCGATGACGACTTTTCAGAGGATCCAGAGATGCCCATGGGAAGGCCCTTCTCACCAGCGGACTGCCTGGCTGATGTGGACACGAGAGTGTGCAGCGGTGAGCGCCACGTCGATTGGTACTATGACAGCAAGCTGGGCTCCTGCATGGCCTTCAGCAATGGCGGGTGCGAGGATAGCCGCAATCGATTTGAGACCTATGAGGAGTGTAAGGCCTCCTGTCAAAGAGAGGGAATCGGGATCTGCTCCCTACCTTTGGTCCAGGGCCCCTGCAAAGCTTGGGAAGTGCGTTGGGCTTGGAATTCTGTCATTAAACGGTGCCAAGCGTTCGCCTACGGTGGTTGCCACGGGAACGCTAACAGCTTTGGCACGCTAAAGGAGTGTGAAGCAAACTGCCCAACACCGAAAAAGAAACCTTGCAAGACATGTCGGGTGAAGGGGAAAATGGTACCCAGTTTATGTCGCAGTGACTTTGCCATTGTGGGGCGGCTGACAGAGCTCGTTGAGGATCTGGACTCGGGATTGGCCCGCTTTAGCTTGGAAGAGGTTCTTCGAGATGAAAAGATGGGCTTGACTTTCTTCAACACCAAACACCTTGAGGTGACCATTGACAAGATAGACTGGAGTTGTCCCTGCCCAAACATCACCGTGGAGGAAAACCCTCTGTTGGTGATGGGGGTGGTGCAGGACGGCATGGCCATCATCCAGTCAGACAGTTACGTCAGAGCAATAACCGATCGCAGACTTAAGAAGCTCCGTGAGGTTCTGGCTAAAAAGACCTGCCAGACATTGTAAAACTCCCGAGACTTGCCATTGCACAGATGGTTGAAGGAACAAATGGCACTGTGAAACATTTATCACCAAAGTGGAAATTAGCCCAACAAAAATGATACCAATTTTCACAGGAGCACTTCTGGCATTTTGCGCTACTTAAATGTATATTCCACGTGTGTTTTGTGGTGTTATTCTGGTGTTTTTTTTTCTTTTGATTTTAATAATCAAAGTCAATTATTCTTGATCTTCACATGCGATTTGTACAAGAGCATTCAAAATGATTATTTCTTTCATAGCTGTCAGAAGAATATCATTACAATAATGAACTTCTATAGCTTAGCATAACGTCACTTAAATTGTTTTTGTTGTTTTTTTTTAAGATGCTCTTTTACTATGCTTACATGTTTTCTATGTATGTATGTCTAATATGCACATTATCACCTATAAACCTTTCTACAAATTATTTCTGGCATTTCTGCTTGGTTACCAATGTGTGTGGATTTAAAACTTGGCCTATACCGTTTTCTCAACATCACTCTCACACACACACACACACACACACACACACACACACACACACACACACACACACACACACACACACACACACACACATATATATA